GATGGAGAGGGAATCCCATCCCGCGGACAAAATGTGTGAGAAACACAACCCTCTCATGGGGCTCTGGGGTAGGGACGATCTGTCCCTCGACCGGGAGAGGGTGAACGATCTCCTTGGCCAGGTATCCGGCCTCTCGGAGCTCCTTGATGTCTTTCCTCTTAATAGAGCAGGCCATCCACTTACCACCAGCTCCGGATCCGGACATGGTTGGAGTGCTTTCTCCGGCGTGGGAAGCTAGAGCTTGGGTGCTGGAGCTCAAGAATGGATGGGCAGAGGAAGGAGAAGGCAGGGGTGAGTGAGAACGAATCCTTATCCCGTTATAAAGGCCGCGAATGTCGAACGCCTCCCTACTCGCCTTAAAACTCGCCTATTCCCAAGGGCTGTGTAAACAACACGGTTGGGTTACCCACACCCGTATTGATGAGAATCCCGTAATAAGGGGACACGATCTCTGCTTTGACAAGACGTGCCAATGGCAATCGCGTCTCGAGACATGGAGCGACAGACGAAAAACGGTTCGAAATTATGACCGGACAGATGTGATGTCATGTTACGAAAAGTTGTCAGCAGATTGGACTCGTGTAGAGTTATATTCTCTCTGCGGTTGTGTTTGTGGTGTGTTTTACAGGTCAGGACATGATTGTTTCGTCAAAAGACTATCTTGGAGTTCTGAAGGAGGAACCCGTCTTGCAATGCCGAAGACATATCTACGTGTCGGATACCTTGTCATTGAAGCCAGGTTCATGGGCTACTGAGGGAGTCCTGGACTAAGGGGTCCTCGGGCGTCCGACCTGTTAGCCATGGGCCGGACTGATGGGATGTGAAGATGCGAAGACCGAAGATTGCACCCGTGTCCGAATGGGACTCTCCTTGGCGTGGAAAGCAAGCTTGGCAACCGAATATGTAGATTCCTTTCTTTGTAACCGACCTTGTGTAACCCTAGATCTCCCCGGTGTCTATATAAACCGGAGGACTTAGTCCGGAGGGGGAGAGACTCATTACCGTAGCCATACAAGCTAGACCTATAGGGTTTAGCCATTACGATCTCGATGTAGATCAACTCTTGTAATACTCGTATTCATCAATATCAATCAAGCAGGACGTAGTGTATTACCTCCATAGAGAGGGCCCAAACCTGGCTAAACATCGTGTCCCCTGTCTCCTGTTACCATCGACCTTAGCCGCAAAGTTCGGGACCCCCTACCCGAGATCCATCGATTTTGACACCGACAGCTGGCGAACCCTGTCTTCGTACCAAAGAAAGGCGGGAAGGAGCGCACGTGTGTTGACTTCACCAACCTTAACATGGCCTGTCCCCAAGACCCGTTCCAGCTACCGTGCATCGACCAGATTGTCGACTCCACCGCCGAATGCGATCTGATGTGCTTCCTGGACGCGTTTTCAGGCTATCACTAGATCAAGATGGCAGTGGAGGATGTGGAGAAGACTGCTACCTCTTGAGCATGCGTTGGTTTTCCCTTGAAGAGGAAAGGGTGATGCAGCAAAGCAACGTAAGTATTTCCCTCAGTTTTTGAGAACCAAGATATCAATCCAGTAGGAGACCACGCGTGAGTCACCATGTACCTACACAAACAAATAAGAACCTCGCAACCAACGCGATAAAGGGGTTGTTAATCCCTTCATGGCCACTTGCAAGAGTGAGATCTGGTAGAGAGAATAATAATAAGATACATATTTTTGGTATTTTTATGATATAGATTGAAAGTAAAGATTGCAAAATAAATGGTGCCAGAGATAGCTAGTTCACGGAAGATTAATATGATGGAACATAGACCCGGGGGCCATAGGTTTCACTAGTGGCTTCTCTCAAGATAGCATAAGTATTACAGTGGGTGAACAAATTACTGTCTAGCAATTGATAGAATTGAGCATAGTTATGAGAATATCTAGGTATGATCATGTATATAGGCATCACGTCCGTGACAAGTAGATTGACTCCTGCCTGCATCTACTACTATTACTCCACACATCGACCGCTATCCAGCATGCATCTAGAGTATTAAGTTCATAAGAACGGAGTAATGCTTTAAGAAAGATGACATGATGTAGAGGGATAAACTCATGCAATATGATATAAACCCCATCTTTTTATCCTCGATGGCAACAATACAATATGTGTTGTTTCCCCTACTGTCACTGGGATCGAGCACCGCAATATTGAACCCAAAGTGAAGCACTTCTCCCATTGCAAGAAAGATCAATCTAGTAGGCCAAACCAAACTGAAAATTCTAAGAGACATGCAAAGATAACCAATCATACATAAAAGAATTCAGAGAAGATTCAAATATTGTTCATAGATAATCTTGAACATAAACCCACAATTCATTAGATCTCGACAAACACACCGCAAAAGAAGATTACATCGAATAGATCTCCAAGAGAATCAAGGAGAACTTTGTATTGAGATCCAAAGAGAGAGAAGAAGCCATCTAGCTAATAACTATGGACCCGAAGGTCTGAGGTAAACTACCCACACATCATCGGAGAGGCTATGGTGTTGATGTAGAAGCCCTCCATGATCAATGCCCCCTCCGGCAGAGCGCCGGAAAAGGCCCCAAGATGGGATCTCACGGGTACAGAAGGTTGTGGCGGTAGAATTAGGTTTTTGTGGTGCTCCTGGATGTTTTCAGGGTACATATGTATATATAGGAGGAAGAAGTAGGTCAGTGGAGCCACGAGGGGCCCACGAGGGTGGAGGGCGTGCCCAGAGAGGGTAGGCGCGCCCCCTGCCTTATTGCTTCCTTGTTGGTTGCTTGACGTCCACTCCAAGTCCTCTGGATCACGTTTGTTCCAAAAATCACGCTCCCAAAGGTTTCATTCCGTTTGGACTCTGTTTGATATTCTTTTTCTGCGAAACACTGAAATTGGCAATAAAAACAGCAATTTGGGCTGGGCCTTCGGTTAATAGGTTAGTCCCAAAAATCTCTCCATATAATAAAAGTTCTATAGGTCGGTCTCGGCGACCAAGTACAACGTACTTGAGTTACTATTAGATCCGTCCTTGACAAACCTGATGATGATAGAGCTCATCGAGATCACCATTGTCGACGCTCCTGCACCCGATCAGCTCGTCTGTTCGGTGTTGTGCCAGAGACCGCGTTCCTCCTTGCTCCAAAGCTGAGAAGGCAACTGCTCGGCTGATCATGACGTTTGTGTCCTTCACGGACTCAACGTAATTTTCCAGCTGCTATTTACCGCCGATCCAGGGGCCTAATAAAGAGAATCAAGTCGATTGAGGCAGCGGCAAAAGCTACCTTCATGTGTGGTTGAGGGCGTGGGGCCTAGCGTCAACGCCGTTGGTGGTATTCTGGCCATGGCGGACACCCACATTATCGTCGATGCATGCATTTTGGGCGGGCCGTAGAAGCGTACGTGTCGTGGGGCGGTAGCTCGCTGTCAGACGAATCTGTGGGCTACTAGAGGCTGTGATTGGGTAAGATGTCGAGGAGGAGGGGGTCGGGGAAGGAGGACTGAAGGGGTGGACGGGGGAGTCGATTGCAAAAATTGTGCGGCACCTCGGCATGGCACCTTTCCTGGTGCAGTTGTTCAGCGCCAGCAAGAAGTCATGAAGGTGTGACCAATCCCGTCTCAGCGAAGAGCCGACATGACGTGCAGCAAACATCGCTCGCTCGGTATGAACAGGTGTCCTCGCTGCTGGATTAGGAAGATAACATGTGACATCGTTCCTTGATTAGGAAGAACGGACAAAATGCTTGGTCAGATCAATGCTGCTGACTGCCTGTATCACCATGGCCACCTCACGTGGCCATGTTCTCGACCTGCTAGAGAAATAATGAGGTTAAGCCCCTCCACTTCTAGTGTGCTGCTTCGCACCAATAGCATGCCCTAATGCGGTGGCAGGAAACCTCCAAGTGCTGCACCAATCTACAACTAGAGGTCAAGATTACAATTTGTGTTCTTTGTTATGCTGGGATTGGTGCTGATCTATCGTACTGCAGGCATACTGTATGTGCTTTCCACGTGTTTGATGAAATTCTTAACGACATAGGTTACACTAATAATTTAACCCTCCAAATTAGCAGCAGTGCCATGTTTGGCATCATCTATTTATAGGGATTTGGTATTAATTCTCTTGTATATCATTATGTTTTAAAATTTTAGGGGTGTTTCTCCTTTAGAGGTTTATATGTACTCTCCATGCATACATGGGCACTTCACCGAATTACCGGTTAAATCTCACGAATGAGAGTGCATTCTGCAGTTTAGCATGATTCATGTTACTGATTAATTTTGCAAGCCCGATAAGAAAAATTCTATATATAAGGCCTTATTGGTTAATTTCGGTTACTTTTCTAGCTCTATGCTCTCTTATATAGGTCTAACGTACAAAGGGTTAGTTTCTCAGAATTTAATGACAATACATATTTACCAATGTTTACCAGCAATACATTATGTCGTGGTCGAGGAGGATGTGACCAACATGTCAATCAAAAGTTAGTGTCATTCACCTGGATCAATTCACTATGACATGTCCTGAACTAGCGCCCCGAAAAGAAGTTGTTGCAAACAAGCTGAAAAACTGAACAGTGGATAGTAGTTGCACGTCTGCTGAGATTTGTGATATAGGCATGAGAAATCGAGAGAGCAGATTTCAAGGTTACGAAAAAAATAAGTGTTTCTTATTATCGGTGTTAAGGGTTCTTTCATTATGACTAATGTGTAGTTGATGATGCTTTTCTTCTAAATCTCAGCATGCCCTTTTTGCGACCACTAGGTGGCAACATATGAATGTCGTCGTGCAGCTTTCTTTTTGGTGAACACACATCAATTTTTTCTCCGTTGCAACGCACGGGCATTTGTGCTAGTCTCTCCCTAATAATAAAGCATGGATTGAGTCTCCGGGTTCACCGTCACGGCAATTTTGCACAAAAGCCCCTATGGTTTTTATTATTCAACCCGTAGTCTTAGTTATCAAGTCACGCCGAACGGATACGAGCAGAAAAAAACCGCACGACCCATGACCCTGCCCCAATCCCATCTTCCACCTCCAGCGCGCCGCCACCCTCGCCACGCCGCCGCGCGCCGCCTACCCCACCCACGTGGCCTTCCACCGCCGACGACATTCGACGCTGCATCCGTTGCCTGCTCCCCCATCCCTGCTACCACGGCGCCGCTTGGACTCCATCCCACTGCTTCCACCTCGGCAATGGTTCCCCCAACCCCGCCGGCTTCGCCATCCCGACGCACTCCACCACCCGTTAGACCAGTCTGCCTGGCTCCCGTGGCGACGGCGCACTCCACCACCCATTGGACCAGTCCTCCTGGCTCCCGCGGTGAACATCGCTGCAACCCCGCTGTCGCTTCCCACCACAGCCGCTGGCCTACTCCACCTGCACGCCACTTCCCGACTTCCCCTTGACGCGCCGCGTGCTCTCTAGCCTCCGGCTAGCTGTGACGCGAGGTGAGCTTGGTTGCTTAGCAAAGTGTGTGCAGGCCATATCGCTTCAGAGGATTGGAAGTCAAAATCTTGTAGCTATAGGCTGTAGCTCTTCGGATGAGATGGGAGTGGATGAGAAGATCAGATCCTAATATACCATGGCAAGGATTACTGGAAGCGGTGGATGATTTTGTACGTCAGCTCTTTAATAGTTTGATCATATTGAGTGATGTGGGAGATGGGCGTACAACTTTTTTTGGACTAACAAATGGATGGAAGGCTTTGATGTTAGTGATTTTGCGCCATCCTTACTACTGAAGATCAGTCCGCGCATCCTGAATAAGTTCACAGTTTGGGAAGCTCTCCATAACCATCGATGGCTGCAAGATATTGCTAGTATGGCGAGGTCCATCCGAACGAACAGGTTCAGCTGGGCACCTTATGGACAGTTCTCAACTATGTCCAACTTGACAATGCTAGACCGGATGTGTTTCAATGTTCCGGTGGCGCATTGTGTTGGTCATATTCGTGTCCTTCTGTGACCTGACTCAGCTTTGCCAATCTAGCCTGAGTTCCTCTTCAAGGCAATGCTTACTAAGTTCGTTGTGTGAAATTTACAGGAGTTATTTGAAGAATGGACTCACTATGCGGCTAGATGTTCCCATTGGATGCCCTTGCAAGAAGTATTGTTGCGGTGGGTACAGCGCCACGGCCCCTCCCGCATCAACACGCTGGTCCTCCATATGCAAAGGTAGGTAGCTACTGATGCTCTTATCTTTCTGCAACTTCAGTGTAGCATGCTAACAGAGCTAATATTGTGTTGTTTTCTTATGCAGGCCTATGCAAAACTTATATCATTTTCTGAACAAAGAATGGACTCATATGCTAATGTTGATGCCCAAGTTTCCTTTGAAAGTAGTTCAATAATAATATAACACCAATGTACGTAATTCTAGTTTTCATTCCAGTGTAGTTGCTACTTCAAAGACGCACACGGTCCACCCATACGATGCTTCTAGCTCTTCAGATTTTACACCATCGCTCCATGTAAATGCAGTTATCCTTAATGCAGATATTGCATTCAAAGTTTCAAACAATGACATAATGACTTTGCTAAGGACCTAAGGTGATCTTTTGAACTGTGCCTGACTGCAAAATAGTCATGGTTAAGCCAATAGTCAGATCTGGCCTATTTGATAATGCTACTATACAAGAAACAAATATCCCTATACATCTAGCGTACAACCAAACAGTTAAAGGAAAACATTGCAGGAAACTGAGATTGAAAACCTGTACATGTAGGCTTTAACTTCCTATGAACATACTTCTGATGGTTCTTGCGACAACACGAGATAAAACAAGGTTACTTAAATCCGCAGGTGGGAGGAGAAATTGCTATTGTTATTCTGGTGAAAGCTGCATTGGAGAAGAGTACGTGCAAAAGCAATCATGATGCACGGTAAGTCCTCCTACTGATTTCTGAACAAAAAACAGTCATGATGCCCTCTTCGTTGCTGATATTCTACAATTACTGGAGTTGCAATTCTTGGCATGATCATATGTGTACGCAATGTGAATATACACGAGGTGGCGTAGCAGGAGTAGAAAAAGTGCAGCTCAAAGTGAGTGCACCTGTATAATTTCCTAGAATTATTTTCTTGGCAGAAGTTACTATCTTCTCATTATGTAATAGGACTGTAAATTTAAAGAAGTAGAAATTCACAATTAATACCAGTGTTATAACTTAGGAGAGGCTCATGTGGATCAACTGTTTTTCTCAGCCCATGGGAGATTGTCGGTAAGATCAAGCCATACCGCCCCCTTTGCACCTTGCTATATTGCAAGTCTTGAAAAGCCTTCTAGGTAACAGTAGCAGCATTGTGAAGGAGGGACAAAAGTTTTCTGTTCCTTTTATTTGGAGGTTAAACTTTGAATGAGAACAGCTTGGTCACAACACGCATGATGAGCTAACTAAGACTGATTTGATCTTCTGGTTTAGTTTTCTTCCTTAGTCCCACATTAATCTATTGAATTTACTTTGTTCACTGATGGATTCACAAGGATATGAAGAATCAATGAATTAATATCTTTTGAGGTTAGATTCCTGATGCACTTAGCTAGATAAACTATATTTTAGTACAAGTTGATTAGTGAATTAACATTGTGTGTTGATGAATAAAATAATATGAATATTGTCATGTTTGGCATTTCATCTCTCCATGCTCTCCCAAGTGTCGCCTCCTCCCTTGATTTAATTTATTATTTAATAAGATTAAAATAATATGCATACAAGCAAAAACATCCCTAATATAAAAAAATGGTTGACCTGGTGGTATGCTATTTGAGCTCATGTCATGGAATTAAAGAGGTTGAACTCAGCAGTCAAGTATTAATAGCAAACGACTTCAGTTCAGCAACATGTATTGGACATTTGTTAGTCAAGTAGTATCATGATTAGTTCATGAAGGTAAAGGCTTTGTATAGGGGGTCAAGGAATTTTGAAGGTAATTTACACATAGTTGAGTTGACCAATTGTTGGGTGGAGGAGTAGGAGGATGAAGACAACGTTTGGGCGCCTATGCGTTGCCTCAAGGGCCTTCTTGCCCTTCATTGGCGTCCAGTAGGGCGCGTGCTCACTAAGGTTGACATGTCCTGCCGGCTGTGGGGGCATCATGGTGATGGTGGACAATGGACAAAGAGGTGGATCCCTGGCAGGATCGTATACAATGTTTGTGTATGCATTGTGACGTCGGTGTGCATTTGCATGATGATGAGATCAACTTTCTCTCCCCGTTGCAAGTCAATTGCTTGCGTCGGTTCACCATAACTCTATTTTTTTACGATCATTTTGTTCACCGTCATCCTCTTTTTTTATGATCGTATCGTATGTTGACCCTCGCTGGTTTTCCGCTCAATCCGTTTCTAATGTTTGAGATCGAACGAGAGAGACGAATGAATAGTAAGGCAAAAACGCTTGATCTCTTTCATTAATGATTAGGCTTATATACAATCTGAGAGGACGCAATAGAGAGATGCGTCCGTTCCCGAACAGCGCATCGAGGGATGCGATTGTTGCGGGTGTCGGTTGGAACAAGGGGAGATTTCCCTTTAATTAAGTGTCATAATTAAATCCTAACAAGATCATGTGTGTGAGCCATGTGCCGAGGATTAACAGGAGGCCTAAATTGTTCGGAGAATGTATTTTTTCCTAAACCCTGGTGACTACCTATCGGCTGTCATTGTTCGATATCATGTTGCTGGTATGCGTTTTGGTGTAGCGAAGCACAAGTTGTCGTGCTACCACATACACACCAATTTATTTTCCCGTTGCAACGCACGGTCATATTTCCTAGTCCTAGTCTCTCCCTAATCTTTCCCTAATTAATAATAAAGCACGGATTGACTCCGTGGATTCACCATCACAATACGCTTCTTCTCGTGAATTTACGCTTTCAGTTTTTTTTCAACATGTCTATATTTTTTCCAAAATCCAAGGTGGTACTAATCTATCTATGTTTATATGTATATAAGAAAAACCTGAGAAGGTAAATCCTCTTTCTTTCCGTGTCCAACTATGCCAGGTCGTCCGTCGTCCGTACTATGCCAGGTCTTCTACGTCGTCCTGCACACATCCGACTTCTTTTCTACCGGTGCTGATCCGGACTGCTTTTCATACCAGTGTCTATCCGATTTTTTTTGTATAAAAGTGTAGGCACCTATAACCTCCGTACCTGTCCTCTCGCTCCGTCCACGAAGAGGAGAGGAGTATCTGCCCTATGGACGCCGTCGCCGCACTCCTTTGTTGTCGTCGGACACCGACCCAGAGGTGCTTGCCCCTCGAGGTCGCGTTGACGCCGACTCGGCCACCTCCTAGGATGCGGCTCCCCAATGACGCCGCCGCCCCAGGGTTCACACCGGTGCCGCCTCTCCAGTCCTGGCTTCAGCCCCTCTCACCGTAAACCTCAGCAATGGCTCCTGCCCACGCAAATACCCGCCGCCATGAGCTGCGCACGGATGCCCTAGATGGCAGCTACGACGATGGCCGAGACGCTTATCCTCCACCGCTACCTCCTGAGAACCCGTGGGCCGTGGCGAGCTCCCTTCCCAGTTCCCACTACCCCCGCCACCCTGGCCGGCTCGTGCACGTGACCATGGTGATGTAGGTTTGCAGGGGATATGAGTTGCTCTGATTCCTGAACCCGTAGAAGCAGTGTCGCCTAGCTGGCGATGCGGCAGGCACAAGGAAGATCCTATACTAATCTTTCCCATCCCCTTGCAGCAAGCTGCGTAGGCCCCCGCCACCGGCTCACAGCCTGAACGGAGCCCCAGTTGGCTCGCCCTTGCTCTCCACCTGTGGCGCCGGTGGCGTGTGCGCAACGGATGAGGCCCCGCACTCACGCTGCCGCAGTGTGGATGGAGCTCCGCCGAGTCCATGAGCTCCCGAGCCGGGCGACGGCGCGTATTGATCTGAAAAAGGCCACCAACCCAATGCAGCCTCTCCCCACTCCCTTTCTTCTCCATATTATAATATCCTTTGATATCAAGTTCTAGCTGTACATTAACCGAAGCATCTCTTTTCTGATCAGTTATACATCAAACAAAGCATCACTTTTCTGATCAATTAAGGAAAACATGTCAGGATGGTTGATGCTTGATGCAGCGGAGAGTCACATGTGCATTGCCGACAGTTTCAATTTAATCGGGCTTCCGACTGGAGGAACAGAAGCGACTCTCCGTTCTCCAGCCATTAAGTTCATTACTGAATAACAAAATCAGCTTCAGACCTAAGGTTTGATCAGGAAAATTCAGCTATGTCTATCTATGTGCATTGGTCTTAATTTTTTTAGATGAGCAAATTGTCTACTTCCATAGGAAGTGGATGGGATGATCTACATAGCCTCCTGCAGCACCGGATTCAAGGAATCAGTACAACAGTGTGGCCTCTTACTAGACAGTTTTCTTCTCTCTGCTTTCGAGAATGC